AGCAGAAGCTATCAAAGCCCAGCTGAGATCCTGAGAGCTCTTCAGATGATTTTCTAATCAGCAGGTGACAGAAGTGGCTCTCGGGACGATAGTCCTCATACGGCTGAAGGTCAAGTCTCTTCAAGGTGCACTGCTATTTGCAGAAGAAGCTGTTCTTGCACACCTGCTGCCCAGATGCTTGGAGGCCAGATGACTCCTGACCGGGGGGGAACACCTGAAGTGTGGAAATAGAGGAGGTAGTCACATTGCCCACAAAGGAGCTGTTCCCCCTGGCTCAAGGAGGGGCTGTGAGGACCCCACTTCACCCTCTCAGCTCACACTGAGAAACTCACTCACACTGAGAGGCTCAACTCACACTGAGAAACTCCAGGTGCCTACCAGCTACTGGGGCCAGCCATACCCATGGGTGGCCCTATCGCGACCTGGAGGAGAGAGAAGGACCCTCAGATCCAGCCCAAACCCAGCCCTTTGCTGCTTATAACTATGTACAGGTGAGCAATTTGGGTCTGATGCCAGACATTGAATCAACAGACCCAAAATAGGCCCCTCATATATATATCCTACAGCAAAGGGACAGGTGAGCTAAAAAAAAAAACAGCTTATAAATGCACTTTGTTCCCCCCGCTTTTACTCAGCATGAATGTTGCACTCTGTTTTCTCTAGTGGCATATTTAGTGCCTTGGGAGAGGACAGCTATGGGGTCCCAACTGCCCCAGCCTAATCCCATCTGGTATCCAGCAGGTTGCACCTTGCCCCTCTTGAGCTGTCTGTTTCTCTGTGCAGAGGGGTCTCTGGTTTCCTGGATGCTTCTTTTGACCTGTCCCTTCAGCCTCCCTGGAGGCCCAGTGATTTCCACACACTGTGGCCCCCAGGTTGCCTGTCTCTTATGGTTCCATTTAATTGAGCAATGCATCAATACACTTTAGAATTATCTGGAGAGCCTTTAAAATATTCAGATGCCTGAGTCCCCCTCCAAACCAAATGACTCAGAGTGTGTGGGAATGGGGCCCAGGCATCCGTGGTTGTGAATTTTCCCAGGGGTGCCAACCTGCAGCAGAGGGTGCCTGGCTATCAGGGAAGTGAGCTCCCAGAAGCTGAGGATCCTGTGTCAGATCCTGTGTCCTGGGCTCCAGTGAGGGATGGGACCTTCTTTTCTCGGCCAGTCTGAGCATGTTTGTGCCTGGTTTTTGACACCCCAGCAGCACACATGTTCCATGAGTGATGCCTGCGCCTTCCAGCTCACCGATGCTAACAGAGGGGGTCCTCTGCTTAATGTCAGAAAAACCAGATGTGCCCAGGAGCTTTGAGCTACCAAGCACCAGAGACTTCAGATGGAATATTAATAATAATAAACATATTATTAATAATAAACATATAGTGTTTATTGGAGCCAGACCCTGTTGTAACTGCTTCACATATGTCAACCTGTTCAGTCCCCACAACAGCCCATCTGTGGTAGGACTAGAGTTAAGGCCACTTTACAGGGGATGAAGTAGAGAAACAGAGAGGTTGAATAACTTGCCCAAGGTCACATAACTGGCAAGCAATGAGCTGGGACTCAGATCAAAGCAGTCACATTATGTTATGCTGCCTCCCAAAACGTCTGCCCTTCAAGAATTACCCCCTCCACCCCACACTGTCAGCTCAAACACAAATCCTAGTAGCTCAGCCTCATGACCTTCTTGACTTGGAAGAAGAACCCCCATATCAGACCTCAATTTCTAAACCTGTTCTAGTCCATGATATTTTACCATTATGATGATGCTGCAGTGAAGGCAGTGATTCTTGGTATAAACTCAATCTTTTCATCATTATGGCAATTTTTCAAAAGCTAAGATACTCTCTTCAATCCCTGAACCCCACTCCCAACATAGGCCTGGGGTTTGAGGCCAGATAGAACTTGAGAGCAAAGTAGAGAAATGGGATGGGCAGGAAAGTGTTCATCTCAGGATGAGCTGAATATGACCTAGGTGCACATGGCCCTCCAGAGCCATCTCAGGAGGGGGTTCAGCACTGTGAGTGCTCATTCTCTCAAGAATTCACTGTTGCATGAGTGGTCCACACTTCAAATGCTTCTCTGATCCTTCCCTAAATATAGAAGTCTGGAGAGAGTATTTTTGGAAATGGTATGATTCCCTGCTCTTGGTCTTGGACACATAGACATTTCAATTTAATCTTCAATATCTCCTGTGTTGTCAGTGAAATGCACACCTCACCTTTACCACTGCAAACCCTTTCCCTATGATGCTCTGGGGAGATGTGTGACAGCCCCTTAGAAGTTAATCTGGTGCTTCACAAACTTTATTTTCTGCCACCTAAAGTGGAAATTCAAAAGTTAAATTGGAGAGTCCCCCATAATTAGGGGATCCTTGTCCTGGTTTGCCTGGAAGAGTCAGGTGTCATGCTGTTGGTCAGCACAACTGCTAATAGAGCTTCCTTTCACTCCCAGGAGAATCTGGTTTGAGCATAACCCATCATTAAGGTGTGAGTCAAAGCAGAATAAAGGTCAGGCTGTGTCTGCAAAGCTTGCTCTGTTTGGGTCATTTGCACAAAGTTGGGATAGAAGTAATGCTCTCCCCATGTGTCTTAGGATTGTTTTCAATACAGGTTAGATATAAAAACACTGTTCGTAGAAACCGATACATCTGACAATAAAACCTATAATAATAATTAATGGGGGAGTGTGTCAGTGGCCTCTACCACCCCCTTGACCCTTTACCCTCTGAAGGGAACTAACCAGTGGAACATCAGACAACAACGTGGGGCCAAGCGGGAGCAGGCAGACCTTCTCTTTAGTCTCATCACACAGAGAGGGTTAGAAAAATAAATAACCTTGACAGCTGACACTCACTGAGTGCTGATGACGGCCAGGTACTCCCCCAGTTACCATAGGTATGCCAAGGTAATGGGTCCTCATGGCGCCTTACCAAATAATTACTACCATTACACCCACTTTCCAGATGTGGAAACAGAGGCACAAAGAGATGGAGGGACTTGCCCAAGGCTGCATATCTGGGAGGAGGTAAAGCCCTATTTGAACCAGGCAGCCTAGTTTCAAGGTCAAGATGCCACAGTGCCGAGCCTCCCTGCCCTGTGTATACCTAGAATGCACCAGTGTGCCCTCTCTGCTTGCCGCTGCAGCAGTCCTGGCACAAACATGCAGCTCTTGCTTGTGCTGTTCCAAATGCTCCAAAGGCTCTTTGTGTAAACCTCACAGACCTGGACCCCCAGGTCACCCTCTGTCATGGTAAGGAAGCCATGCAGACCCCAACTCTGACCCTGACAGTTGGCTTATACACACTCCCAGCTTCTCCACCTCCTCAGATGACGGCCCTAGGCCTCCTCCAGGCACACAAGGCATACCTTATCATCACCCACTACATTCTGCTCCCCTGCCAGGCATCCAGTACTGCTGCCACTTCGCAGTTCATTCCCCAGGCCCCCAGCAGCATCTGCTCTGCCAGCTTCTCTCTCTGAAGTACACCTTCATCCTCACTATCATGCTCTTTGTCTCCTTCTTTGCCACCACCCTTCCCCTGTGATCCCAGGCACTTTCCAGTATGTTTCCAATGTGGGGCGGTGGTGAAACTATAAGCCTTCCAAGGCCCTGCACACAGTAGGCCATCATCCCATATAAGACAACATATGCAACCATGCTTCGCAGGGGACTCATACTCTCCACTAGCATTTGTTGAATGAATGAATGAATGCTCAGTCTCCCTGACTTCTGGACTCCAGAAATGCTGGGTTTGGGTGCCCCCAGTGCTACATGCAGCACACTCATAATGTGAGCTGTTTTCTAAAACCGCAGAAAACAGCAATACGTATTTACCTTATTAAATGCTAGCTTGGTTTGCTGTGAATTGTATGTCTGCATGAGGGGAGAGAGGGCAGAGCCAGGAAAGGTTAGGAGAAAAACTCTCCAAAGTAGAGGTGGGAAAGATCCCAAGGGCTCACGTGTTAGGCAAGACACCAGGAAATATTCAGAGATGAGAGGGGGCTGGGCATTAAATGGACAGAGAGAATGATGGTAGAGGGGTATCCAGGCATGCAGAACAGCTGTGGGACACCTCCCCTATTGGGCCTTGAGGGGAATCATTTAAAGATTTCCCCCAGTGTCCAGGACTAAAAAGAAAAGCCCCTGTATTTCTCCCTCCACCCAAATCTTGGGTTTCTGTCACCCCCCCCCAAACACCTGCACCCTAGAATGACAAAGCCACCATCTCTTTCCCCATAAGAATCTCTCCCTTAGAGACAATGAGGAAAATGAGAGCAGAGGAAAGAACAGACTAATTTAAAGAGTGTCCATAAAGGGGAGGAGGGTTGCTAAGACAAATCTTTTATTATTAATTTTTTTTAAGACAAATCTTTTAAAGGAACCATTTGGGTGGCAGAAACTAGGGACAGAAATTAGACTCAGCCACTATGTTGCACAGGGGCTGATCACTGGTCCCTCCCCTCTCCCCCCCCTCCCCCCCACCAAATCCTGGATAAATAGCAGTCAGACCTCTGACAGGTCACCTCTAGCTGGCCTTAATCATCCCGACACCCTCCCCTCCGCAGCTGCTCCAGCCATCCAGCATAGGAGATGGGACCCCACCTCTGGCACCTGGTAGCCACTTGCAGATGCATCAAAGACATTTCAGGAGTGTGCTAAAGGGAGGCTCAAGGAGGCCACTGGCCTGCAGAGGTGGTGTTCCAAAGGGCCAGCATTTCCCTGCCAATTATCTTCCAAGACAAATCCCCACTTCACTAATTCTGCTGTGCCCTGTGCCTGACCAGTAGGGCCAGGGTTGTGAGACTGCCTGCTGGATCCCCAGACCCGGACTGTAGCCCAGAATCATCCAGCTCAAGGGTGTTAACTTGCACTCTCTGGAGTTTGGGAGAAGGAGGGAATCCAGCCCCGAACACCGACATTTCCAGAGCACCCTTTCCCAGGCACCTTTCAGAGACCTCAGTGGAGACGCCTCAGAAGTCAGCCAGCTTGGCATAGGCTTTGCGGCGTCTGGCTCTGGGGCTAGCTGCCGCTGTCGGTGCTGTCCTGCGCGATGAGCATCGGACGCAGAGGCTGGCCTTATTTTGTGGCATCTCTCCTCCTCGGTGGATCCTCCTCTGTGCCTCCTCCTCTGGCATCTCCGTTCCCGGCGCCCACCCACCTCCATCCTACAGAAATCTCACTGAAAAGGTCCTGGGATTTGCGATTGCGCGGAGTGAAGGGAGGGGGCGACTGGGACCCGGGCAGACCGGGAATTCACAGCGACGCCTTTGGGAGCTTCAGGTTCCGCTTCTAGGAAATGAGTTTAATGATGGGACAGACCCTGCAGGTCTTCGAGAAGATCATAGGGGCAGGGGGGCAAGGTGGAGAGTAGGAGGATGTCAAGCGCCCGGCTAAGGGCTCTGCACGCTCCGCATAGTCGCTACCACCCCAGGGCCGCGTTACCCAAACGGAGGACTCTGGGACCCCTAGCCCCGCGGCTGCAGAGGGCAGAGCAGGGGAGTGGGAGGCCAAAGGTCAGACAAGACAGGATCTGAGGTGAGCAGCTGAGGGGGCGGGAGGTCCATCTGGGGCTCTGAACGACCTGGGGCGGGGCTGGATCCCAGGCGGGGGCGCGGAGGTGGGCAGGCCGGGCGGGGCGCGCGGGCGCTGGGACTGGGGTGCGGAGGGCGCGCGGCGCGGGATTGGCGGGCGCTCCCCGCGGGGCCCACCGCAGGCTTTTCAGGCGGAGCAGGCAGAGGCGCACGCACCTGCTCCGGAGTCCCAGGGCAAGTACTCTCCACCGCGCTCCCGCCGCCCCCGGGCGGGCACCCCTGGGCATGAGCACCCCCCCGACGCTGCCCCCAGAGGGCGAGGAAGAGCTCCAGACAGCCTGGTCCCCTTCGGTCAACGCCAGCTGCGCCCCTGCTGAGGAGGAGGCAGCGGCGGGGACCGGGGACACAGGGGCACCGGGCATGGTAGCCATCCAGTGCATCTACGCGCTGGTGTGCTTGGTGGGCCTGGTGGGCAACGCCCTGGTCATCTTCGTGATCCTCCGCTACGCCAAGATGAAGACGGCCACCAACATCTACCTGCTCAACCTGGCCATCGCGGACGAGCTCTTCATGCTGAGCGTGCCCTTCGTGGCCTCGTCGGCCGCCCTGCGCCACTGGCCCTTCGGGTCTGTGCTGTGCCGCGCGGTGCTCAGTGTGGACGGCCTCAACATGTTCACCAGCGTCTTCTGTCTGACGGTGCTCAGCGTGGACCGCTACGTCGCCGTGGTGCACCCTCTGCGCGCTGCCACCTACCGGAGGCCCAGCGTGGCCAAGCTCATCAACTTGGGCGTGTGGCTGGCATCCTTGCTGGTCACCCTGCCCATCGCCATCTTCGCTGACACCAAGCCGGCTCGGGGCGGCCAAGCCGTGGCCTGCAACCTGCATTGGCCGCACCCGGCCTGGTCGGCGGTCTTTGTGATCTATACTTTCCTGGTGGGCTTCCTGCTGCCCGTTCTGGCCATCGGCCTGTGCTACCTGCTCATCGTGGGCAAGATGCGGGCGGTGGCACTGCGGGCCGGCTGGCAGCAGCGCAGGCGCTCAGAAAAGAAGATCACGCGGCTGGTGCTGATGGTGGTAGCCGTCTTTGTGCTCTGCTGGATGCCTTTCTACGTGGTGCAGCTGCTAAACCTGTTTGTGACCAGCCTTGATGCCACAGTCAACCATGTGTCCCTCATCCTCAGCTATGCCAACAGCTGTGCCAACCCTATCCTCTATGGCTTCCTCTCAGACAACTTCCGCCGTTCCTTCCAGCGGGTTCTCTGCCTGCGCTGCTGCCTCTTGGATGTCGCAGGTGGTGCTGAGGAAGAGCCCCTGGACTACTATGCCACTGCTGTCAAGAGTAGAGGTGGGGCAGGATGGATATGCCCCCCACTCCCCTGTCAGCAGGAGCCCTTACGACCAGAACCCAGCCGCAAGCTGGTCCCTCTCACCAGGACCACCACCTTCTGAAGAGCCCTTTCACCTCCTCCGCAGCCTGGCCACCTGTAAGGGAGTCTGTGCTACCCTGACACCCCAGCAGACTGCCTGTCCTAGATGCTCATCTAAGAGCCACCACCTGTTCCCACCACAGCCACAGCCACCTTTTCCCAGCAGTCTATGGGCCAGCCCCAAGAGCATCAAAGCTCCTTTCCTTTGTTCTGTCCTCAGGACTCTGGTTTCTAGGGAGGCACCTCCATGGGGGTAGGACTCCTCTGACCACCAGTCCATGATGTTAATTATTCCTGGATCTCTGACTAGTTTCCGAGGGGTGGGAAGCAGGGGGATGCCAGGCAGGAATGGCCATCTGCATGTGACGTGTTACAGAATCTCTGCCTTGGAGAGGGCTGTCCAGAGGGTGGAGGCAGCCTGTGCCCTTGCTCTCTGCAGACTCTGCCTGTGGTGGGGACATAGCATGTTCGAAAAGGGAAGGGAGGAAGGAAGATGCCTCCAAGCACACCAGTGGCTTCCATTCCTGGGATCTTTTCTAACTGAAATTGATGCATGACAGCCTGGGGCACCTCCAGGCCCAGTGCCTGCTTGCAGTCAGAAATGTCACTCCAGTTTTCTGGGGCTAGCAGCAGGCTTCCTGTGAGTAGGAAAGGTTTGGAAAGTCATGATGTGGGATTTGTTATGAGGCACAAAACCAGGTCAGTAATAATAATAATAATAATAATAATAATAAAGCAGAAAGGATGAATCTCATCTAGCTCCTATGGTGTGATTTTTTGCCTTGACCCTTTGTCATGAGAACATGAGACCTCATTAAGTTGACCAGTTTATACCGCAGTGGTGAGTGGGAGGGAACTGGAGGTGGGAGGGAAAAGACCAGAGAATGCAGATGGAAATCAGCCCAGATTTTGGATAGAAGAGGCAGCTCTGTCACCCACTGTTAAAAAAAAAAAAAAATCGCAATTCAGTAAAACACCAGCCAGATGTACATAATAAACATATCTAGGCTGAACATGGTAAACAGCTGTAACTTCTTGCCTAATGTTAACCCAAGGATAAATTAGCTTTTCCCAAAGGAAAAAGTCAGCTTATGAGAGCTTTAATCCTGTTTTCTGTGAATAAATCCTTGCAATGCTTCTGTAGGGGCCTGGAGTGAAAACATGCAATTAAACATATGTGAACACCTGTGTGGGAGACTCCACCTGGCTGAGCAAAGCAAAACACCCTTCTGGGTTTGGCCAGCCCATCCCGGTACAGAAAGGAAGATACTCAGGGAGGGAGGTGAGGACAGCTGGAGAGAGAGCCCCTCTACTCTTCAAATGGGGTCAGCCTTGCAGCTTCCTAGCAGGAGGGCTTCAAGAGAAAACACAAGGGACCTGCCAGCCTAGCAGAACTTGCCTGACTTGAGCCTTTTGGGGCAGCCAGCAGGCATCCCAAGGTGGGCACAGAGGGCTTCTAGGAGGCTAAAGAAGATTGAGGAGGGCAGAGCAAGGCCCAGGGAGATGCTCTGCTTCCACCATGGGCAGGGGCTCCTCTCTGAGGAGGAAACAGAACAGGGCTCTTCCCTGAAGTGTTAGGGCCAAAACCAGAGTCTTATCTGATATGAGCAGGTGCCTGGTGTATGAGAACCAGGCAAGAGAGCTGACTTCTGGTCCTAGATATAAACATTGTGTAATCCAGGCAAGTGACTGAACTCTAGGGTCCTCAGAGTTCTGTCTGTAATAAAACGAGGTCTTCCAATGTCGGCACACCGTGACAGAGAACTAACCGTATGCTCTTTTTCATGTGGCTATAGAATCTAGCTTCTTCCCTACTGAATGAAAAACAAAAAGCCTTACCTACATTGTGTTTGGGCATATAACCATTGGATCCTTACTCCTCTACATGGCCAGCCAGCAGTATGATCTGTAGGCGGTAATCAGTGTTGATCCAAATGTGTCTCATAGGGCTGGGTGGGTGAGGTAGAGATGAAGGCCATTAGGGTCTGCACATTGGGGTGGTCTACATCTGTCTGAGAGAGAAAATGTGTAGCCAATCTGTGTTGTATCCCAGAGACATGGCTGTGGTTTGGGAGCTCCTAACTAAGGTGCAAGAACCCCTTGAACTCACAAACATGTGTGCACACATGCACACACATGCATGCATGTAAACACACAGACATCAATTGTCCCAAACCTATTATACCCACTCGAGTTGCCTTGGGCAACTGGAGTAAGCCAGTGCTGGTGTTGACTGGCCTTGTGTAACCATAATTTCTTAGCAGTCTTTAAAACTTAATTATTTCTTTGTTCCCCAGTGCCTGGCAGCATGCAGCAGTGTGGTCACTCAGTAAATGTGGTGGAGGGGCCACTGGAGAAGATCTGACATGGGCATGGGCTGCTGGGCTTTTGACCCTCTTGGGTGGGGGCTACAGTCCTTGTCTTCAGTGTCCAACAGTGATTCACACCAGGCCAACTCTCTGATGAGCAAGACGGAGCACTGACCAGGAGTCTTGGCAACACTGGGCTGGGCTGAGTATTTGAAAATGCAATGTTTTTAACTTGGTGATGGCTGAAGTAGAGGTAGCCTTAGGTGATGAAAGGAAAAATCCCTGAGAGGCAGGGGCCCTCCATCGGCCAAGCTAGCCAGCAGTGAATGCTATAATTTCTCTGAGCCACAGTTTCTCACATGAAATATGCACAAAGCAGGGTGTGGGTTTTGAGTTCTTCTCAGCTGTAAACTGCCTTTTCAAAAGCACTGAAGAGGCATGCTGAGGCAGTGGGAGGGTGAAAGACAGCATTCTTCTATGCTTAGTGCTTTCTCTATCCCTTGTTAAAAATTAGCATTAATGCTGCCCCTGACCTGGGAGTCATAAATCACGCAGTGGAGGGGCAGGCTAGGGGTGGAGAGTGTGCTGCTGGCCAGTGTCTTCCTCAGCTGCAGAGCCTTCTCACTTCTTGGCGATTAGCAACTCAGCACCCACAAAGTATCCCGGGCATTTGTTGGGGGACACATTTAGAGTCCACCAACAGTGGTAGTTAGCATCAACCCTGAGGCCTTTGTTAACAGCTGATTACATGAACGCCTCAGGTTCCTGAGCAGAAAATTTGCAGAATTTGTGAATTAAAGTCAGAGATGGAAGTAGCTGGGGTCCTGAGAGCATTTCACATTACACATTTCACCTGCCTCAGGGGTCAGCCATGAAGACATGCAGGCAGGCTGTGGCCTGAGTCCTGCTTCTACTGACCATAACAGCTTTTGGCTTCAAAGTGAATGAAAATATTTTTTACCTGGGCAGAAACAGCCTTCAGACACCCCTCAATCAGTGAACTGCTTTGCATTTTAAAGCTGTCTTTAACTTACTGTTCAGTGACAAGCCAGGTATTTATTTTCTCCAGATGATTGTAAAATGGTATTTGAACATGACAGGTGATCACTCATTGGAATTCTTGCCCAACCTGTCAGCTCTATGTCATTGAACAAAGATGCATACTATTTTCATTTTTTCTTTAAATTCTTGGCTTCACTTTCATTAAAAACAGCATACCTAGCACTCCTTAGGTGCCGAAGGCTGATATCAAAGGAAAAAAACAAAAAACAAATGTATGTTTCTGCTGTGCTATTCAGAAACCAGACATGGAAGACTGACCAGTGGCTAGGCAAATTCCTATAAATTTGGGTTTTGAAGCTCTTCTCTGACACCCCTGTCTTTCACCACCCCTTACCCAAAACATGTGACAGAAAAGCTTCAGATTCCTTAAGCACAAATATCAGAGTGCTAAGGTACTGTCCTTGAAGCTCTGCTTTGTGGAAGTGTGTGCTGGGAGTGTGCATCAGACAGCATGCTGAGTGCTGCTTCTGGCAGCTTTGAGGTAAGATGGGGAGTCTCCACAGACAGCACCCCTGTCCTCATGAAGCTTGGAGCTTAGAGGCAAAAGATGACCCTTCATCAGAGAACCACAGAAATGATGGTACAATTTTAAGCTAAAATAAGAACACACAGGAATGGACTCTGGTTTCTATGAGATGATATACTAAGAGAACCTGACATCGTCATAGGGTAGGTTTCCCCCAGAAGGTTGCTGGAGATGACATCCTCATAAAGATGAGTGGGAATCAGCCAGGAGAAGAAGGGGTGGAGTGGAAAGTGCAAAGGGCTCAAGGCACAGCATGTGCAAAGGACCTGTGATGGTTAGCACTGAAGATGACAAAGATGACTGGAACAGAGGACGGATGATGCCCAGTCAGCAACAGGCACTAGGAGACAGACCAGCAGTGCCTCATAAGTCCCCTTGAGAATTTAGGACCATGCCACATCACAGCAGTGGCAGACTTTAATGAGAGGGTCAGGTCAACCTGGCAAAGAAACCCATCAAGGAGTCTTGAGTCCTTGTAAAGTTTGGGCACTTGTGCCCTCCATTTTTCAGTGCGAGGCTGGCAGGTGGAATGCGTTCTTTCCAATTCAACAGTCATCAACTTTTTTCAACAGAAAGACAGAGTTCCCAATCATATGAATGGATTGGCCTAACCAGGAGGGGCACCTTTGAAAGTGGGGGAGAACTAATGTTAAAAAAATCCAAGATCATTAACTGAATCACTCAGAATGGAAGTACTGACTTGGTTAAAATAAAACCTTTGGCTTTCTATTAGCGAAAGACACTGTGGGTACCCACTGATGCCACATAGAAGTGTGGTGCCTGGGTCTAGATGGGCTGCCTGAGGTCAGCGCTGGCACAGTGCAGATGTGCAGTGGCCTGGAAAGAATAGACTTGGGGACACACAGACCAGGGAGAGAGAATCCACATACCAGCCTAGTGGGACCGCAGGAAAAGCTCTGTGGCCCCTGGAGAAAGGCTAGAATGACAGTATCTACCCCCTGATTATGCAGGAGACTGGCCCAGAAGAAGGCTAAACATTCAGAGAGTGACCAAATGACAGAGAAGGAAAACAACAAGGTCGATGCAGAGAATTGGCATGTTTTGTTGTATTTTTTGATGTTTTTAATTTTTTTTTAAATTTTTATTGTATTGTTGTTGTTGTTGTTGTTATTCTAGAGAGAGAGAGAGAAAGCAAAAGAGTGCAAACGGGGCAAAAGGGCAGAGGGAGAGAGAGAATCTCAAGCAGGCTCCCTGCTCAGCATGGAGCCCGACTCGGGGCTCGATCCCACAACCCTGGGATCATGATCTGAGCTGAAATCAAGAATCAGATGATCAACCGACTGAGCCAGCCAGGCAAACTGGTGTTTTTTTTAATCAGGATTTCTTTAGCCTGTGATTTGTTTTCAATTTTTATTGAAGTATAATTTACATAAGGCAAAGCTTACTCCTTCTAGGTGCTCAGTGCTATGAATTTTGACAAACCTACACAGTTACGTTATTTAACTGCCACTACCACCCCAAGTTAAGATGGGGACTGTTGTTGTCACCAAGCATTTTCCTCATGGCCGTGACACATGCCTTGAGAGGGCAGGTTGCCAATAGCATGGAGGACATGAGGGGATCAGATCTGGGGCAATGTGATTCCTAAATTGAGGGAGGCCCTCCACCCGATACCATTTCCTGAGCTCCTTTACACAGGCAGGGATCCCTCAGGAAACAATACTCAGGAAACGTTGCCCTTTCGACCTCCCATATCTGAAAAGAACCACCCTGGGCTCCAGATATCCCTCACCCACAACCATGGGCTTGAGTATGTCTCTGGGCAAGGTGCCAGCTTCTTGATGACCTCATAGGCTTTTACTCTGAGCTCTGGAGAAAGAGCACGGCTTTCCCTCC